ATTGAAAATATTCGTGCAATAATTAGCTTTTACAAAAAAAAACATCATCATCATCAGTAAATTATGAAAACACAATCAAAAAAAAAACTTCGGGGCCAAACGAAGCAACAAAAAAAAATCGTTCCAACACTCCTAGTGTCTAACTAATATAGGGACTTGTATTGAACCAATATTTTATCCACTTTTTTTTTGGTTGTTTGATCGATTGATTGATCTTTATCATTATCATTATGTTTGTATGTGTGTCTATAGTTTCGACGAAACGAAACGAAAAAAAAATGAATCAAGGTCTCTAATTAAAAACCAAAAAACAAAAAAGTTATTGATCTTGTTCATTTTATTTGTATTCGTGTTTTTCCAATGAACCGAAAGAATATTTGTTTTATATTACCGACTTTTCTGCCCAATTGATTGACCGATTATGAACATCCTTTTCAATGTAGTTTTTTTTATGTTCATATACAAAAAAATACATGATATGTTGTCGATTAATTTTTATTTCCAACAAAAACAAACTTTTTCAAGGCTAAGCAGGAGGTCTTTTTTTTCTAATTTTTATCGATTTCAAAATTTCAGAGGATCGTGACATCGATTAATTTTTTTATTTTCCCGTTTCTTCGAATTTACCTTTTTTTTCTTATAATAATAATTTTCATTGAAAGAAATTATTATTATTACAGCTAAAGAATAATTTACTTTTATGTTGAAATGAGATTTAAAAAAAAAATGTAAAGAATGTTTGTTCGTTTGCTTTATAATTCTTACATTACATTTCGATATTGTTCTCAATATTTCGATATCAATCAATCAAATGAAAGAAAAAGAAAATCCTAGAATTTTTTTACCACTTTTCATCAATATCAAAATCTTTTTATTCGATAATGATGACCCACTGACCACGATTCGTTTTCTCTCTCTCTCTTTCTTTCACTCTTTCTTTCCATACTTGACCAATTTCAAGCATAAACCCTTTAAATAATAATAATAATAGATTTTGGGCTAATTTCTGACACTTTTTTTTCTTCTTCGTCGACTATTTTCAATGTTTCTTTTCCATTTTTAATGTAATAATAATGCATATGAAGAAAAAAGTATCTAATTTTGCATGTTAATGGTTTTGTGATTGAAAATTTTCAAAATTCTTTCGTTTTTTTTTCACAGAGTGGTCATTCGTTTTCTTTTTAAGTAAGAAATGAAAATCACATATTGTTGTTATATTGATGATTTTGATGATGATTTTTTTTTGGTGGATATGAGGGGGTGTGTGCGTGTGTTTGAAGCACACAACATAGGAAAATAAATTATCAAGGTCCGTTTGGTAAAAGTACCAGTGTTTGTGCATGTGTGTCATAGTTAGTGAAATAATTTATTTCTTCATCAACATTGAATATCTAAGTGAATTTTTTCCCCATTCGATCCAATATGAATGGAATAACAAAAGTAAATTTATTTAGGGTTGAAGGTGCCACAACAATGTTGGTATGCTATGCTGATTAAAGGGAACGGTCGCAAACACACACCCATTGAAATAAGCCGAAAGAAAAAGTCAAATTTCCATTTATTTTGGACCTTAAGTTTGTTTTTCTTTCTTGTCTTTTCTGGCTTGCATATATAAACAATCTGATCTGAATTTAAACACAAGTTTTTTTATGAAATTTTAATATTCAAAATTGCTATGTTTTTTTTGGGTAAATATTAGAATTAGAAAAATGCCAAAAACATATTCCGACCAAAATAAGTGAAGAAAATTTATTTATTTTCTATACATTGATCCAATTATCATTATTCTCCGGGTTTCGATAAGAAAATGTTATGGAAAATTTGATTCTCTCTTTTTTCTAACCTTAGGTTATTGAATTATGAAAATTTTCATTTTGCCAATGTAAACTAGATCCTATCGATGATTATGTCGTTCACACACACACACACACACAGAAGTTTTTTCTTCTTCCATATTTTCTATTGACTTTAGTAATGATGATGATGATTATGATGATGATACGTGATAGTTGATCATAATTTATAAATTACCATCGTTTCTGTCATTGAAACCATCATCATCATCATCTCCGGAATTTCAAAATTTCCAGATCAACAGAAAAAAAATTGTCGGCAAATTCCTGTTAATTTTTTTGAATTGAATTTTTCATCATCATCATCATCATCGTTTGTGTATAAAATAGGAGAAAAAAAAATGTTGAAATTTCAATCATTCAATTAATAGATTTTCATTGGCTAAATAGTTATTTACATTTTTTTCCGCTCTAAAATGGATTTTTTTGCCTGTCTAGACACTTATACAGATTCATAGAATTATTTTCATATGGGCTGCTACCACTGATTTAATGGTAAACATCATCATCATCAACAACAACAAAAGAAAATTGGCCTATATGCCTCTGGCATCAATTATTATTATCAATGTTGTTGTTCACAAAAAAAAAAATTTCCAGAAAAGTTTCAGAAGCTATTATAAACATCTCACCACACTTTATAACAAGGCCTTCTTTTTTTTAAGGAATTGGTTTTTCTTTCCTCCTTCTCTTTTTTTTTCTTTCTCCCCATTTTTTTCCCGTTTAACCTAAGCTAGGTTTCGAATGATGATAAAAATGTTTGATGATGTTGGTGATGATGATGATCGGTGTGGCAAAGGTGAGAAGTTATAGTCATCATCACGTTGAATTGGTGATTGGTTTGGCATATGATGATAATAATAATAATAAAGGAAAAAAAATCTATTTTAGCCTAAATATGTGTGTGTGTGTGTGTGAACCTTGTCAATGAAAAAAAACTAAGGAATTTTTCTTTTTTTTATTTCGTTTCACGTTTTTTTCGTTGTTGTTGTTGTTGTTCTGTTTACATTAGAATTTATTCACACATGCATGTATATTGGTTGGAAATTATTTTTTTTTACTTTTTCGTGTATAAAACATTAATGTCGAAGTTCAAACATAAGTGTATAAGATGTGGATCGATCCGACAAGTGAATTTTTTTTTTTGACTCGTGAGATGTGATTAGGTGATAGGTTGATAGGTAGTTGGTTTGTTGGTTTTTTTCTCGTTGGTTGGTAAGCTGGTGTTTGTGATGATGATAATTGATTGGTCAGATCGATTTTTTTTATTTCGTTGTTTTGTTAAAGGTCCAAACCATCAAATTATGACCCCAAGAGAATTTGCATTTTTTTCGAATCCAAATAAAGGAAAGGGAACTGATACGAATTTTGATAGGAAAAATTCAAAATGGCTAAATGAATTAATGGAAAATAATTAAAAATGGGAATATTAGAGCTTAAATACTTTTCTATATTCATTTTTTAAAAAATACCTAAACATTCAATTTAATCAATATTTTATAATGAAATTATTTTCAATTATAGGAATTATTATTCGAATGTCATTTACAAATTGAACAAACAATTTTAATGGCTATGAAAGAAACTGATGATACCATTATACATCAAACATCATTGGATCATAATTATCATTATCATCTTGAACGACAACAAAATGATCATCAACAACATCATTATACTAATAATCGAAATAATCGTTCATTAATATCAAGTGAGAAATTATTATCATCATCACCATCAGCATTTTCACCCGAATCATCCACATCATCATCTTCATCATCATCATCATCATCATTTGATGATTGTCTAAAAGAAAATTATAATTCATCAATCAATTGTACGGATATTCATCATCATCAAACATCGACAAATACAACATCTTCATCATTGATTAAACAACAACAACAACATCATCATCATCATCACCATCATCATCACCATCACCATCATCATCATCATCATGCTAATTGTGTTCCAGTAAATGATACATCCATTGAAGTTGAATATTGAAAATTTTTTTCTTTTTTTTTTGCTCAATTTTTTTGTCAATGAATTAAAAGCACACACAAAAAAAACGGAAACTCCGACCGCATTGTGATTTATTATTTGATTGTGATTTCTTCCTGCATTTTTTTCGAATTACAAATTCTTTTCGAAAAGACAAAAAAAATAGATACAAACAATACAAAGAAACTTACATACAATAGTACAGGACTAAAAAAATTTGAAAAATTCCCGTGCCTTAATCATCAATAAGAAAGAAACAAAAACAAAAAAAAACCAGAACACAAAACACTGAAGATACATTTCATCATACATACACCAAAAGACACTAGTCACCGATTCAAATTTGAAATTTTTTTCCTCATTCAAGATGCCAAAATTTTGTTTTTTTTTCAAAAAACTTTAAAATTACCTATTGCCATAATGTGATATGAAATTAATTGATGGAATTAACCAAACACCACAACAACAATGACAACATCGATGACAACAATCAATCATCAAATCTGCCAAAATCTACTTAATAATATCCGATCAATTTGAATCAAAATATTAACCATTTGCCATAAAAAATTTCAATGAAAAAAACAATAAAAACATCAACGAATTGCTCATTCTAAATACCTCATCTGATTAGTTATTTTAAAGAAAAAAAATCCATTTGCTCAAAATTCTATCGACCATAATATCATTTAGTAATTTGAATAAGAATTATTATTTTTTTGTTTCATCCGCCAATTTTGTGTTCATCCATTTCATTAAACATCCATCATTAGGTTTAAATAATAATAGATTCAAACAATTTTTTTAAAAATTAAAGAATAAAATTGCTGAGCATTAATACCATCATCATCTAGCAGCTTCATATAATTTGTTTCAATTCGAAATCGATATCTATGGCTTAATACACCATCAACATTATCATCATCAACATTATTATTCATCATACATGACAAATATTGTTGAAAAATTATTGATACAAAATGAATATTACAAAAATAATAACAAAATCAAATCATTTCAACACACAATTTTCCATATTGAATTTGTTTTAATTTTTTTTCTGTTTCTTTTACTTTTTTTCATTATTATTATTTATGTTTGATTAATATTTTTTTTCGGAAAAAAATTGAATTAAAAAAAATTTTATTGAATTTTTATTCAATTTAACAAAATAAATTCTAAAATGATGAAACTTTAAAATCATTTCCATTTCTATAGCCACGATTATTATGGCGACGACGTTTAAGTTGTTGTGAATGTTTTTGATGTTTTCGTTGTTTACGTTTAATTCCAGCCACAGTATTCATTACCATCTATAGAATTTTATTGATTTTTTTTTTGAATAAAAGAAAAAAGAATTTCGGATTAATTAAAAATAGCAACAAAAAAATGACAGAAACAAAATCAATAATAATAATTACCTGTACAGCTCTCTGTTTTCTACGTTCTAATCGTCGATGAGAAAGTTGATTTCGGCATTGATTATATTGATCAATAAATAATTCACTACCAACAATATTACGAAACATTTGTAATACTTGTTTAGCTAGATTCTTTAATTCATCAATGCCACCACCAGTACTATTTCCATTTGTTGAAGATTCATTGCCTACGGATGATCGATTGTCCGTTGACGATAAAATCGTTTCACGGCATAAAGGTGGAAGAAAAAGTGGCAAATATTCTTGTAAATGTTCGTGACCAAGTTTCAAAGAAACCGCTGCCAACCATTTGACGAATAATATTCGTTTTCGAGTTTCATTTGGTCTATATTTGATTTCAAATTTGGTCTCGAAAAGTAATTTCTTCACTAACCATTCAAATAAATGTTTTTTTTCAACATTTCGATTTTCTGTTTGTTCAACAGCAACGACATTATCGTAGTCATAGCATGGGTTACTATAGTCCATTATGATGAACACTCGAGCAATATAGATTAGATTTTTAATCAATTGTTCAGCTAAAAATTGACAGGCATAAATATCACGAAATATAAGGGAAAATTTTCTAGCTAAATTGATCATTTTGTCCTCCGGGTTTGTGAATAGAAAAAATGTCAAAATATTCAAACTGACACCTGATAGTTGGCCAAATGATTCCGGATCAAACCAAGAAAATATTTGGCCAAATATTTGAACACAAATACCACGTATCCAAACATGTGGATGAAGAAGATATGTTGAAACAACATAAGCCAATATTTGGTTGATATGATTTTGAAATTTGTTTTTCACGATAAGATTTTTTCCCGTTTCCATTTTCAACAATTTAAAGAGAAAATTGAAATGTTGAAATAATAGATTATCTTCGTCTTTAGCTAAATCATTATTATGTTTTTCACCGGATTTTAATGATTCGTAGCGATCCGGATCTAGTTGTTCGGAGATTAATGGTAAACAACTAGGTAAACGTTTTTCAAAGCTAGATTTTTCATTTTCCAAATATAAAGTTAACATTTTCGAAGCAAGTGTTTGTTTTGGTAACGAATCCGATCTTAGCCAAGATAAAACAAAATTTTCAAACATTTTATCAATATTTTCTTGATCGATTTTTCTCAATAATATTGCCATCGTTTCATGAACAAGTTTCAAACATTCAGGTGATTCTTCATTTACTAATCTAAGGGCTACAATAACAAACAATTGATCATATACCATGGCCAAAATATCACAGGATAGATTTTTAATCACATTTTTAATCATAATGATGGCTGCTTTACGGCCGGAAACATGATCAACTTCTAACTGTTTTGCTAAATTAATCAATTTTCCCTTTAAACGATTACTATTGATAGGATAATCAGTCAAATATTTGACATACAATTCGATGGCATGATCACGAACATGATCAATTTCTGTGACTATAGCTATCACCATCAATCGTTCCATTAGTTGATGAACTTCTTTTGAAATGAATTTTCTTGCCAATATCGATTTAAGTAGATAATAAATTGAAACATTTTGACTATTGTTTTCAATATCATAGTCAGCATAAGCTATCAAAATAGTCAACTGTTGATCGGTTAGTTTACAATCTGAACGAATATTGATAAAATGTGCGATTGTTTTAAAACATAATGTTGTCATTTGTCGATTATCATCATTGAGAAGTCCGGAATATTTTTGCAATAAGAGAAATAATTGTAAAATTATCGATTCAGCATGGCGATCAAATGAAATAATGGCAGAAAATTTTGTCAACATCAACAATAAACAATTTAAAGCTGAAGCAATGACTTTTAAATCGTTTGATTTTTGCAAAAACATATTTAAATGTTCCAATGATTCATTGAGAATGTCATGATAAGCATCTGATGATTTGATAGATTTATTATGCTTAAGGATGTATAGATAACATTCAAGAGCAAAATTTGATACCACATGAAAATGTGAATGTGAATTAATTTTCGAAATTGGATTTACACGACGTAATGATTTTTCCGGTATAATGAAGCTATCGACCATTATTCGTTGTTTTTTGCTACTATCACTATCAATGCTGTTATCATTCATTTCTGATTGAATTTTCAGATTAATAGACAAAGATGAAACAAAGATTTCATTCAAAAATTTTAACAATTTTTCAATAGAGATATGTTGATTGTGAACTAATCCACATCCGATTCGATGAAATGCTTTCTCAATTTTTTGCATCTTTTTATGATCATTTGTTTCGAGCAATAATGCTTTCAATGGTTCAATCAATGTTTGTAATGATGATTCCGATACTGATCTTGCCATTATTTCATATATATCATATGCTTTAATTTTCTTAGCTTCTTTTGTTTTTGTTACTATCTGTGAAATTTCTTTCTCTTCGGATAACGATCCGAATAATTCTTCATGACATGCTTGAATTAAATCTAACAAACATTTGTCTAAATCACCACCATTCAATTTGTTAATAATTCGTTCTAAAAGTAGGTGAACAGTATAAATAAAAACATGTCGTTGATAACCTCTGCATAATAGTACTTTCATTTCATTAAAAATATTGACAAAATATTTCGGTCCAATAACGTCAAGAATCTGTGCCAATGTTTTACGAGCAATTTCACGAATACTTTGAGCTTTTGATTGTAAAAATTGACATAATCTTAATATGATACTATTCAGATTTGTTATGAAAACACGGCGATCGAATTGTACATGCTGTAATAGTTTAACAATGGCCAATGATATTGGTATCGTTCGAATATGAATATTATTATCATTATCATCATCATCATCATTGAATTTGTTAATATCATGAACATTTTCCATACGTGATTGTTGATGTAAACATCTGTGCAACATGGGTAATAATTTTCGACAAAGAGAATCATAAATTTTCTTGTAATGAAGAATGTCGCTGGGGGTGATGTTGTTGTTGTTGTTTTTGTCATTATCACCGTGATCATCGATATCGTTGCAGCTTTTATCGTTTAGAAAATCTTCCGAACCGATCTTATCATCATCGTTAGTAATAATAGCATCAAATGGTTTCTGCTCTTGTTGTACATTTTTCTTGTCGTCGTTTTGATCTTTGCCGTTGCCACAGTTTTGCTTTACTCGTTCTTTTCGATTGTCATTTTTATTATTATTCGACGATTTTTTTGCCTTCGATGACGATTTTCGTAATGATTTACTTCGATAATTAAAACCATATTCCGAAGTAATCCGTTCAAAATCATTTGGCATTAATGTTTTTTCGATTAGTGAAACATGTTCGGGCTTCAAAAATGAAAATTTTTCTAATAAAGCTGATATGATTTTGATTGAAATTTTTGGATCAACAACATTCTTGACATTTGTCGTTGTTGGCGATAGTAAATTATTTACATGTCGAGACAATATGGCATCATATTTAGGCCATGAACAATATTGTAAAAATGTTGCCAATGCTTCCACTGAAGTGTTGAACAAGCTAACATTTGTTTGCTGACCACCGGGAGATGATGAATATGATATTAGATTCTCAACAATTGGTATTAAAAAATTCATATAAACAGCGCTTGAAAATGATTCAAGCAATTCTTTATTTTGCAATAAACGATTCAATGCACGAGCTCGACGATGTAATTGGATATGGCGAATGTTCTGCCAAAAGTCAAGTTCTTCATCATCATCACATAATTTTCGTAATTGATCAATGTGAATATTACCCAAAGACGAAGATGAACGGATAATTTCTACCAATAAGTTTATAAATTCAATCGAAGCTGATTCTTTAGTATTTCGGATTCCTTGTGGAATGATTTCGAACAGTATCATATTAATGACGTATTTGTTGAATAGGTCGGCCGATGATTGCATTTTGAATAATGAACTAATCTTTAATATGATTGAAGATGATAATTCTCGTATGCTAAAATCATCAAACGTATTGAGAAAGAAAGCACAATTTAGCAGTAATAAATCAATAAATTTAAGTTGTGAGAATGATAATTTTGCCGGATTATCAATACCATCTAAATATTCGGAAATTTTATTGAAAGCAGAAATTCTACAATCATAATCCGGTTCTTCGGGATATTTAGAATTCAAAGAATTAAGATCTCGTATCATTTCGGCTAATGGTAAGAAGAATTCATTTTTCTTGCTTAAATTCATTAGATAAATACACAATTCTTTTCTCGGTATTGGTCTCTGTACTAAGGAAAAAAGATTGTAAGATGAAGTGAGAATAACATCAAAACTTTCGACAGATAAGTTCTGAGAAAGATGAGATAATATTTTAATGATGAAAATTTCTTTTTCTTCTTCTGGTCTTTTCTTGCGTGATATCGATCGAATCAATAAAATCATGATTGTATGTGAATCGGTTGCATCAGTCACATAAAGACTAAGACGTGCTAAAATGTTGATTTCTTGTAGCGAAAATTTTGGATTACTTTTTGATTGATAATTTAATTTCATTCGTTCAATAATATCTTTGATATGCGGGATCAGAATCAATGAACCAAAGTTAATGGATTTATTATTGAATTCCGGATACTGTTCAATACTTGGAATCACAAAGTCAAAATTATTGATCGCCAAATGGGCAATTGGTTCATCAGCAATCAATAGATTCTCAATCAATTTCACAATAAATCCAAAAGTTATTGGAGATAGTTTAGAATTCTTGAATAACTGTATAATTGACATCAAGGGCGTCGAATCTGTTTTTGAATCAAAATGCTTGATCAATAAGTTAAAATATCGTGGATTTTCACTCCAAACATTGAACAATCGCAATAATGGTGAAGGATAATTTTGACTTTCAGTCGAAATATTAGCAACAAGTGGACGTATCAAGGATTCGAATAGAATATCGATTTCTATCTGTTCAAATGGATAGGTTAAAAAATTATTGAAAAAATATTCTGTGGCTTTGAAACAGTTTGTACGAAATATCTTCAATTGATCAACAATATGTTCTTTGATTTTCGATCGATATTGAACAGATAAAAGTTGTGAACAAATTGATGAACAAATTATTAAAACTTTGAAAATGTATTGCATGATCCTAGTCGATTGATTGCCAAAATGTTTCATCAAAAATTCCAAAGTAGTTATGAATGATTGAAAATTTTTGAATGGAATGAATGCTTCAACATTGACAAATTCATTGCTAATTTTTTCCAATAAATAGGCATAATCAGTTTGCAATAATGGTTTTATGGAAGCATAAACAAAATCCATAAACATTATTTGTTGTTCATCATTGAAATTGCATAAAATTTTCATTATTAATGAACGAACAAAATCAGCTTTGCTTTTACCATGTGTTTTAGTACCGGCCGAAGCAATCATTTTTCCTATGGTGATTCTTAAAAACAAAGGCAATACTTTTGATCGATCTTCCACAGCAATAACATTATCTTCATCATTGTCACGAATCATAAATGAATTAATTTCCGAAACAAAAGATTTATCATCAATTAATCGTGAAAAATTTTCACGATATTTAGTCAAATGCGTTTGATTATATGTCAGTAAACAATTGAATGCATGATTTTGACATTGAGAATTTGGAGATGATAAAAGATCTAGGTAAATTTGATTTAGTTGAGGTTCTTTATGTACGGCTTTTGGATTCTTGAATTTTCCAAATACATCAAGGAAAGCAAAAAATGTCTTCCAAGTCATTTTAGTATTTTCCATTCTGCTTTCACTAACCATGTCGGATGTAATATTTTCACGACTATTAATACGAGAAATATGATGCTCGTTAAACTCTTTCGATAAAAATTCAAAAAATAAATCAACGAATTCACTATTCCTTCGTTCGATAAGATTTGGAAATTTTTCAAAACATTTCAACAACAACAATCGATGATTCAAATGATCCGAAGCAAAAATGTTTGTTTTGTTAATAAATTCAATTGCAATTTTAGTTCTCAAACTCCAAGAATCTAATTGAGATTGAGATGCTTTGATAAAGGATTCAGTTTGTCGAAAATGATTAAATAAAATTTCAATGAATCTGATTGGTTTATTCGAATTACTTTTAGCATATGTTTCGATAACTTCGATGATTTGTTTCCATAATACATTCAAATTTTCGTACAATGTTCCAAGAAGAAAACATACTGGTGCCATATCAAACTTGACCTCGTTCAATGATTGCGGTTGATACAAAGATATATAAGTTGAATCCAATTTCCAAATTAATCGTAAACGTTCTCGATAGTTTTCCAGATCAACAGGGATTGATTCCGCATTCAAACAAATTTGAAATACGGACATACCTTTGGGATTCTCGTCTGTGATCGGAACATGTAAATCAAGCAATGTCAACAAATGAAGACACACCAAACGATTTAATCTCAGTGGCGAAGAAAGATTATGTTCAAGTAATGGATACAAATCAGAAAGTTCAGCATTCAATTTTTGTGTGAAATCTTGTGATGCAATCGGTTTATTAAAGCTTATAAATAAATCCAATGATTGTAGTATTCGCGTACAATTGGGATTTGCCCTAAAAACAAAAACTATTAAAATAATTTCTCAGAAGATCTTTAATTACCTTAGAAACGTAGTGAACGTTTTAAAATCAAATTTCGTAATAGGAGAATTCGGATGGGAATTAAGAATGGTAAAAATCATCGCTTCGTACAATAATTCTGCATAAATATTTGAATCTTCGAATGAAGATGGTTGTAATAATGAAGAGTCAATAATTTTTATTATATTTTCATTGATGAAATCATCAAAGATAGAATTGAATTTATTAGAAATACTAGACAAAATTGTTAGACAAGAATACATGATTCGAGGATCATCACATTTTATTGTTTCACATAAAATTTCAATAACCTGTTGGTTATCGCAACCAAAATCTATCGAATATTTTTGTATCTTGTCCAAATCTTTTCCCAAAACAGGTCTAGGTTTTTTCTTCAAAATTACATTTGACATGAATTCAATTACACAAATTCGATCGTCGATATTGTTTGATAGTAAAACTTTAAAAAACAATTGATGTAGATATTTGAACAAGATTATATCATAAATTGGACTACAAATAATTTTCGATGTAAAATTCAGTAAATCAATAAGTGATAAACAAGTGTTTGGTGCGTAAAATTTTTCACATAATATTTCCATACGATCCGATGATAAATGTTCATATTTGTGAATGAAAATTTTTTCAATAATTTCAAAGAGTTTTTGCTTTGTTTCAGGATCAAATATTTCGAATAAATAGTTTACCGATTTGAATGCAACATCAAAACCATTGTTAACATGTTTACACCTTTTATAGAGAACAATTTGATGAATCAATTCTATTATTCTAATCTTATGAGCTTCATCATTAGGTTCAATCATTAATAATTTCCAAATGATTGTGAAACAATCAGGTTGCTGAATATTATCAAATGCAAACGTCAAAAAATATTTCATCGAATTTAAAGTTCCATTTGGACTTTTTCCATTCAACTCATCGAAACAAATCTGTAAATAAGATTGAGCTTTATGGTTTATACTGCCTTGAACACCTTTGATACTTTCGAAAATGATTCGGCCCACTGCTTTAGATAAGTTGTCATTTTGCTCAACATTTTCAAAAATGATTTCAAACAATTTGCTCGGATCTTTGGATCGCCGTATCAAAAAAGCAAACGTTTCGCCAGTGAAATTTATGACATATTGTTTTTTGCATGTAAAAGCTTTTTTAAATATCTGAAAATGTTCTTCAATATCTTTGATAATATGCTTCCATAGATATTTGAATAAAAATGTTTGACAAACAAAAATGTTCTCAATAATTTCGGGATCTTCATTTTGCATTGATAGATTGACAAGACGATCAAATATGGGTGAGAAATATTCATAAAATTCTGACTGTAAATCTCGCGACAAAGCAATAAGAAGTTCAAGTATTGCATTCAACGCTTTATTTTCCGGATTGACCATTGCATCTAGAAGCGTATCTATTAGTATTTTTTTCTTATGTACGATTTGAACTAAATTCTGAACATCTAACGGTGAACCGATTCGTTGTCGCAATTGACGAAAATCGTGTGTACAATTTAAATCGGTCCATTTCTCTAAGGCGATGGCAAAAAATGAAATATCTTCATCTGATTGATCATTTTCCACCAGCCGTCTTTTAAGATTATTAACGGCCGATATATTAATCTTATTCAATTTTTCATTGAATGTTTCAAACTGAAAAAAAACAGAAAAAATTATATCAGCAAAAAATCCTCAAAAAAATGTCAAACCTTGTGTGTATTTTCTTCTTTGTGTGCATGTGATTTAAATTTTTGAAATTCTTTTTTCATGTTTTACGATGTTCAAAAAAATAATACCAGAGAAATGAATCTATTCCTGAAATTTTTTGTTTTCCAACATTAATAAAAAATCAATTCAATTTAAAAAGCGAATTATCAAAACAAATACACGTGGTTGAAACAAACATTTCATGGATAGGTTGAAATATTTGCACATGCATGCATGGGTAAAAATAGAAATAAATATCAAAAAAAAATTTTCATTCGAGCATGCACATTGAAAAGCGCATGGGCTGATTTTTTTTTCTTTCCAATGTTAAATCGGCAAACGACTAGAAAATTCGAGAAAGAACTCGTTTGTCGATCATCAGCGTATGTCGTGGAAAATACTTGCACAAAAATATTACACACAGAAACACGCCACTCAGCCGCAATTCAACCATTTATAAATTTGGTATTATTGAGTGTATTGTGAGTCGTGTCTTTATATTTTTGTGCTCTCTTTGTGTTTTTTTTGTGCGAAGTTGATTTGATTTGATTTTTTTACTTCGTTCATTTTGGTTTATCACAATCGGGTAAAACGTGCATGCAACATATATTTTGGTCCATATTTTAGCATTATCTTGAATTTGAAAAGAAAGCGAACGTAATTAATAATCAAATTTTTCACCTTTTACAATTTCATCATCATTGTATCATCCTCATCACCGTCATCAAGCATTTGTTATTTATCTTTGTTGAATTATTGAACCTCTTATAATTTGTAAGTACTTTTAATCGATTATCGTTAAGGATTATCAAATTTTTTTTTGTTTTCTCCAGAAAAGTTTTTGCTTATCGTTTCCTGAGCTGTTCGATTGGTTTTTTTCTTTCAATCCTAAAACATTAGGCTTGATTTCATTCAATTTTCAATTCAGCGTCACCAAAAAAAAAAATTTAATTAAATTTGTTTCTACAGTGATTTAAATATATTCCGATTTGATCAATTGTTAATTCTAAGTTAAAGAAATGGTAAAAGAGACCGCTTATTACGATTTACTTGGTGCATCGCCAACATGTTCACAAGATGATCTGAAGAAAGCCTACAGAAAATTAGCCCTCAAATATCATCCCGATAAAAATCCAAATGAAGGTGAAAGATTTAAGGCCATATCTCAAGCATATGAAGTATTAGCAAATGAGGAAAAGCGTCGATTATATGACATGGGCGGTGAGAAAGCCATCAAAGAAGGTGGTATGGCTTCAGCAACATCACCAATGGATATATTTGATATGTTTTTCGGTATGGGCCGATCAAAACGTGATCAAGGACCTCGAAAAGGAAAGGATTTGCATTTCGCATTGGGTGTAACACTCGAAGAACTTTATAATGGTTCCACACGTAAACTTCGTGTCTCACGTAAAGAAATATGTGAAGATTGTAAAGGATCCGGTACTCGCACACCAGGTGTCAGCGCCGAAAAATGTGCTGCTTGTCAAGGATCAGGAATGCAAATTCGTGTTGAACGGTTAAGAAATAATTCTAATTTCATTCAACAAATTCAATCAATTTGTACCGAATGTCAAGGAAATGGTGAAAAAATTGCAGCTAAAGATCGTTGTAAAAAATGTAGTGGAAATAAAGTCATAAAGAATTCGACATTATTAGAGGTTCATATTGATAAAGGCATGACTGATGGTCAGAAAATTGTCTTTTCCGGTGAAGCCGATCAGGATCCATCATATGAACCAGGTGACATTATTGTCATCTTGGAACAAAAGGATCATGATGTTTTCAAACGAAGTCACGGTAACAATCTACTGATGACAATGAAAATCAATATAACCGAAGCATTATGTGGTTTTCAAAAAACTGTCACCACTTTGGACAATCGAACATTATTGATTACTAGCCATCCTGGTGAAGTAGTCAAACATGGTGCTATTAAATATATTGCTGGTGAAGGTATGCCGACATATAGAAATCCATTCGAAAAGGGTAAACTCATTATTAATTTTGCCGTCGAATTTCCGGATTATATTGACCCTGCTCATATTCCAAAATTGGAGGCTATATTACCTCCAAGAGCGATACAAGATATTCCAATGACCGATGTTGAAGAAGTTGAACTACATGATTATTCAATCATAGATGAAGAACGCTCACGACAGAATCATCGTGATGCATATGAAGCATATGAAGAAGATGGTGATATGAATCATGGACCAGGTGTGCAATGTGCCACACACTAAAATTCACACACGAACTTTGAGCATATTAAATGACTCAACTTTTTTTTCATTCACTTTTTTTCTAAAAAAATGGATGAAATTAAACATGAAAAAAAATATTTTCGAAATTGATCGTAATTAAACACATACACACACATTCACACAAATTAAACATACATCATTATAAAATTTATAAATATACTTAGCTTTATTTGTTAATAATGGATTGAATTATTTTTGAAATGAAATAAATTTCAATTCAATTCATTCATCTAATTCTGTGTGTTACTATTAGTCTTTTTTTCAATCCAAAGTACAATTATAAGCAAAAAAAAATTAAATAATTTTAACAATAATTTTTTTTAATCCAATTCTCAATTGCTTGCTTTTTGAACATCATCCTCTTTGATGATCTATTTTTTTTTCAATCATCACCTAAACACCCACATGCACTTAAAAACAATGTATTTGATCGACAAGACTTTTTGTTGTTGTTAATTTTGTTTCGTTTCTTTTTTTTCATCATTATCTTCTTTCATCATATTTGAAATTTTCAATTAACACAAGTCAAGTTGTGATATGCTTACAAACATTACATAATAAATTACAATAACACTCTCCTCTCTCTCTTTTTTCCCTACATTCATAAATATACATTACAATTTATAAAAAAAAATAATCAATGATTACAATAAAATTAGGTATTTATATACAATTAATAATAATCATATTGATAATACAATTTTTTTTTCTTTTGTTTAAATTTTTAATTTAATTTTCCAATTGTAAATCCTGTTTTTATTTTTTTATCATTATCATTTTAATTTTGATGATGATAATTAATTTGATGAACATGACTATTAAAAGGATTATCAATAATATCAATTTTAAATTTTTCATTAATTAATCAAATTACAAATAAAAATTTTGAAAAAAATTAACATTTCTATTTTGTTTGAGATTCGGTGGTAAAAGTTTCTTTTTAAGTTATTCATTAATTCGGCCGATTATATAGTTTGGATTTTTATTATTATTATTATTTGTCGTATTCGTACCAAAATGAGGTAATGATATTTTTCTTGAACGATTATTTTTATTCTTTATTTCCGATGTTCGATTATTATTATTTTGAATTCTATTATTCATCATAATTGAATGATGTTGATTATTATTGATTGTATTTGTATGGCCATAAATTGTATTATTATTTTTTCTATTCAACATTTCGAATGGATTTCTGCCAAAATTATCCGGTTCATTTGAACGTATTATTGGTGTTTGATTATGATTTTCATATGTACCATAATAACCAACATATGGTGTTATAGCTAATGCTGTTATTTTTTCAAATTTTAATCTATTTTCACTTGGTGGATAACGTTCATGAACACTTTGTACGACTAGTATCATCTGTATAATATTGGCTGGTATTAATTTATTTTGTTCGATTAATTCTTTAAGTTTATCTATTCAACAAAAGAAAAAATTAAAAGTTTTATTCCATGATAATAGATGGCAACGTTAGATTTATCAATGAATTATTGTTCCAATTACCTTCAAGTAGACTATCAATGAGAATTTTATCACGAAATATTACCAAAGTTGTTTTACGTATTGAAACATTATTGAATGACTGTTTAAAAAGAAAAAAATTGAATTAATCAATTAATTAGATACAAATTGGATTATTTTTTTTTTGATAGTGATGATGATGATGACAGGAGACGAAAAAGGACATCAAATAATGTTGATCATGGTAATTTTTTTTTGAAGTATAAAGTTTGAACAACAACAAAAAAATATATTTACCTCGATACTGAAAAGCATACATTCCAATGTTGAAAGTATGTCATGGTAGAAAGTTTTCCATACTGATCCTAATGTATTCAAATAATTTTTTCCATCACCATCACTGTCACATCCATCATCATCAAAATCATGATCGATCTTTGATTTAAGTAAACGTACGGCTTTCGGTAGCACTTGACTCTTGATTGATTGAAAATTTTTTTAAATTAAAAAAAAACATCATTATCTGATCTAGATAATAACTGAATGAAAAAATAAAGAAACATTTTATTTATTTACCTTAAGACGATCAAAGACAAAAATACCGAAATTTGAATTCAAAAGTGCCGTAATATCTTCATGTGTTTGTTTCAATTGTCCATCAATTAATTGGCCAGAATTTTTAAATAAATTTATAATAGATTCTTCTAAACTATTGAATAAATTGATGAAATGAAAATTTTCTACTTTTTTTTTAACAAAAAAAAAGTGAGACTTACCGTACCCAATTGGCATTTTTAGCACATGGAATTAGAAATTCACTTGATAAATTACCCACACATATTGTATGGAATAATTTTTCTGCTTGTAAATCTTCTAATTCATCGGTTGCAATTTCAATACCATTTGGTTGATGATGATGATTATGGCCACATGGTTTCTGTGAATTTGATCGAAGTTTAGTCAATTCTATTTGTCTTAATGTATCGAATGTTTGTTGACTTTTATTTGCATTAAAAAACGGTACACGACGATTGAATGGCATCGTTTTTTTTCAAAATGATTGACGGATGATGGATGAATAGAAAGATTTTTTGGAAAAATGATTCCTAAATGAGATCAATAGATTGTGTTTGTATACTGAAGAAAAATGCTGAAAAAAAACAAAATTAAAAGAAACATTTCATCACTTTATGAACATGATGAGAAACACGGCTAGAAACGCGTGTTAACTAAAAAAAAAAATTCAAACATGCACACACCAACAACAGCAATGTTTAAGAATTGGAAAAAAGTTTGAATGAGCGCCAAACAGAAGAAAAAAAAACGAAAGTTAAATGTGATACATCCTGTCATTTTCATCATCATCAACATCAACAATCGTCGTTGCTGTTGTTATTGTTGCTCATCATCATCCTCATCATCATCATCATGAATGTTCGTCGCATTTGGTATTTGGATTTGTTGATGATGATGATTATCATTATTATTATGTTCATGTATGATGTCATCAAAAAATAATCATAAGGTTTTTTTTATGTTTCTATTTCATATTTCGAATCAATTCAATTTTTCTTTCTTTGATGATAATTTTATAGATAAAATAATGAAAAGACGCACTTCTGTTTAATAAGTGAAGAAGAAAAAACTACGAAGAAAACTTTATCAGGATTATGAGATGCTGTACATCATTTACGTCATAATTAACAATTACGATTTGAATTTGAATGATGTATCTGTTTTTGGTAATTTTCTATCAAGATAATCAACAACAAAAAAAATGATTGAAGTATACATTTACATTTTAAGAGTCCGGCTGATTGAATCGATAATCATGTAATCATTAATTGGCAATTATTTTATTGATGGCAATTATCATATTCAAACAGTTTAACTGAATTGATTGATGAATGATTGATAGATTTTGGATTTTTTTCTTTCCTAATTCGAAAAGAATCGTTTCCTTTTGTTGATAATCGATGAATTTCTTTTTTCTTTCTTTGTTTGTTTGTTCATATTTTGTTTCGATTCACAATCAACAACACAAAACTAACTTGTATGCCATTTCGACTACAATCATAATATGTATGTTTTATTTTATGACAATCATTATCATTTATTAGAAAAAGACATTGTTTTTTCTGTTGTTAGCAAGGAAAATGAAAATGAAAAGAAACCAACAGATTAGGGATTAAATAATAAAAATTAAAATAATAAAATTAAAATTGACAATCAACAATTGTCAATTGTTTTTATCGTCATTGTCAGTATTTTGTTAGTATATCACTTGGTGAGGATTATGAGGTCGATCTAAATTCCGTTTGAACAATCTATGTTTGGTTATGGCCATTATTATTTAGCCATTTTTGCATTGAAATCAATATATTTTTTTTTATTATCAAAATAGCAACGATTTTTATTTTCCGATTTAGTTTGTCACTTGTTTATGTTTAGCTGTTGATCTAATTTTCTGATTTCTGTCTTTCCGGATATTTTGTTAATGGCAATAGATGGAGCCTTTGAAGTCGATAATGATTTCCTGTTTATTTGTGTTTGAAAATAAAAAAAAAAACATTACCACAAATCAAAGAAAGATAATCAGGGAGAAAACAAACAAAAAAAAAACTGAAACGGCAGCTGACAGGCAATGACAATGGCAAAAAAAATGTTTTTTTTTGTTGTTTTGTTTTGCTGATGAAAATTGCAGCAGGCATAAATTGGGACACACTTCATCTTGGGGAAAAAAAGAAAAGGAAACAACAACAACAGCAACAGAAAACCTGACGATCACCAAACATTGATTGTCAAGGTGTTCGATTTCATATTCATAATACGCAGATGATGATGATGAAATCTTTTTATTATGATGGCACGTGGCCTGTGTGTGTGTGTTCTAATTTGAATCAGAATTCATAATTTTTATTGTAACCGAAAAGGGAAAAAATTTTTTTTGGTCAAAATACATTGTGTGATTTTTTCTCTGTTGTAAATATTTGTTACATCCATAATCAACAACAACAACAAACAATATGCAAATGACCTTGTTTATTTTGCATATTGTTTGTTGTTGTTTATCATGATGCCGAAAAAAATCCTAATAAAATTAGTTAAACAAACAGAAAACCACACAACGAGAGTAAAGAAAAATAAAGGGGGGAAAATAATTGAATAATGAGATTTGAGAAACAAAACAAAACAAACGAAAAATCCATAATCAATTAGCTTCATTTTAATTTGGATTTTCGTTGTCAAATTTTTATTTTGTTCACAAATGATTGATTGATTGATTTATGGCAAAACAAATAATAATCATTATCATTAACATAATTTTGTTTTTTTTGTACAAAGTCATTGTCGATTCGATAAATTTGAATTAATTTATGTTTGGATATTTGTTATTGAACGCAATATTCATTTTGAATATTCATTCTGGCTGTATTGTAATGATACGTAAGTAAAATGATGACTTTCATTTTAAATTATATCTTGATTCATAAATTCTGTTTCATATAATGAATTCAAAGTCATTTTGACAAAAGAGTGGGAATTTTTTTGTAACCGTCAAATTCCAAAAAATTTATAATTGTCATTTAAAATTGTTTGATGTTGCAAACACTGTACAGTTATAATATAAAATATATTGTCAAAATATTATTATAACTGTACTGTAAATTACGGTTGTTGGTTACGATGGAAACCTTTATGTTTATCATATCATAATATCATGGTCATCGAACCAGTAAATAGCAGAATTAGAAACAAACAAAGGTGAATCAATCAAAAAAAAAAGAAGAAAGTTGTTTCTCTTACCGCGCACGTTGTGATCATTCAAGCACGAATCAAATTACGGTTTTTTTCTGGTTTTGTTTGGTTCTCATCATTCCCATGGATTTTTTTCGAATTTTTAATTTGTAAAGGATATATAAAATTGTTTATGAAGATCATTCCATTTTAAGCAACCAACAAATGATTATGGCCATGAATTTCGGTTACAAAATTTGTATTTTTTTGATTATGATTCCCATGCAATTAATCAATGTTTGTGGTTGTCCATTTTATCATATAATAAAAGAAGTACTCACTTGGTCATCATCTTTTCAATTCATTTTCCACCCTATTCATTGATTAACAATGATTCAATGTTGTAATAAAAAATTTACGAGTTTTTCAAGCATAATAATAATCACTGAACAAATTTTTTTTTTCATTCTTCCAGTAATTCCTTTGGAATTTCATCATCATCATCATTGTCCATAATCATTGATGATGATGATCGATCAAGTTTTGATCATGATCAAGCATAAATCTTCTTCTTTTTTTTGTATAAAAAAACAAAATTATTCGTATGAATATCTACATAGTTTTTGTGTGTGTGTAACAGAGAAAATAAAATATTTAATCAAAATGATAGATTTACAGAATTGAGTACTGCTTTTTTTTCCGCTGAATCATATTCTGTTCACAATCTAATATCTCAATTGTCCAATTGATGTGATTGAATCGTTTGAACAAATCTATAATCAAATGACTATAGAACAATTTATATTTTTTTCTGATTACCAAAACAAATCGCATTATTCATATATGAATTGGATTTTGTTTGTTGTTGTTGTTGTTGTTTGTTTTTCCTTACTTGTCATCCAAAAAAATGTTTGAGAAAATTTCTCCACAAAATTTTTTATTTCTAAATTTTTTTCTGTTTAATATTCATTAATTGGATTTCAAATTTATGCATAAATTGATTATAGATTGGGAAATTTGTATATAAAAAAAACAAAAAACAACGATATACCTTTGATGATACTTGAATGTATACATGTACTTGATTGGAATTTATAAAGAAAAGAAAAATTCAAATTCAATCATCAATCAATATCGACAACCAACGTTTTTTTTCTCTGGTTGTTCTATGAACAAAAATGTGATAATAACGTGATTGATATATGATCAATAATCAATAATTTCGAGAAAAACAAAAATCATTTGATCGAAGAATATTCAATAAACAAGTATTACACACATTTAATTCAAAGTAATTTTTATGATTTATAGAAATGTTCTTGGATGCTGAAAATAAAATCAAAAATAATTAAACTGAATAATTATCATTTCATCAGTATTCAAGTGCTTTTGATTTTCTTCAAAATAAAATAAAATAAACAGCTAATTGCCAATGGCAATTGACAATGATGTAACAAATTCAAATTCAAATTTTGTGCTTTATCATTGAAATAAGAATTTTCTATTTCATTTTTGTTCAAAAAGAAACATGAAAAATTCGTTTTTTTTCTTTGCTTGTAAAAAAAATCAAACATTTATCATTCAAATCAATTTCTTGTTATCTTTATTATTATTATATAACGGTTGTTATTATTTTTCCAAAACGATGACGTTTGAAAGATTTTTTTGGGTGTCCATTTCTGAATCATTGTCAATCAGCAGCTGCTACTGCTATCAATTGATACGTTTTTTTCTTTTCTTAAATTTTTGGTCCAAGGATTTTGTTTCTGGTTGTTGTTGTTGTTGTTTTCGTTGTCCAAGTTTTGTCCATTGAAACACCGGTTATTTTTGTTGTTGTTGTTCTTTTCATTTTCATTCGATTTTTCTACCGTTTTTTTTTCATTTTCAATTTCGATAGAGCACGTGCCAGATTTTTTTTTGGGTAATACTTCTTCCTTTCATCAAAGATCTTATTAAATTTTTCCATGTGTTTTTTTTTTTTTTGGTGAAACCTGATTTCGTGTGTGTGTAGCATCTGCGGGAAGTTTGTATGCAGTCGGCTGGTCTTTTTTTTAATTGTCATTTTCAATATGGTTAGTTGTCAACATTTGTCACCACAATCTCTATGAACAAAACAACAACAACAACAACAACAAAATTCGTACCGTTTGTTTTCAATAATGTTTATGTAGAAAAATTCAAGGATCCTGGATGTGGATAGAGATCCTATAGGAAAATAAAATGATCCTGTTTGCCTATTTATGTTCGTGTGTGTGTGTGTGTATATACTTTATGGGGTATGGGTGTAAGAAACCGTGTCCTAGGAAATAATGATATTCGGAATAAATAAGTCGAAACAAAACACCCTAAAAATTGATATTTGACAATAATAATAACTACAATCGAAATAAATGAACCATAAACAACGAACGAATTCATGATTGTGACTCGTGACCTAAAGAGACAGTAGATGTTTATTTATTTGTTTGTTAGTTATAGCTGTATCTGGACACATTGAAATAATCATATATAGCTGTACATTATGTATGCACACGTAAAATAAATAAAGCACGTGTTTACCTGCATTGATAATGGCCACTTCATTATGCATTATTTTTTTTTTTGTAGATGTTTTTCTTTTTCTTCTTCTTCCTCTACGGAACATTTCCTTTTTCGAAGTTGTTTTATTTCTGAAATATTTTACTCTTTTTTTTCATCGACGAAATCACATCACCTTTTTTTGGATATCTGCTCAATTTAATACGAAATTATTTTTAAAAAATGAAAATTTGACCAAAACAACAATTTCATTAATCATTTCATTAATTATTATTTTCATCACACATTTCTTCGACTAAATCTGAACGAAAATCTCGACAAATCCTTGTTGCTGTTATTTTCGATTAAACATTTCAAAACATTTAGTAAATTTCAATTTTAGAAATTATATTTTCCGTTTCCGTTTATCTCAATCAACAATGATATCAAAGATTCTACATTATTCATTCATAAACAGCAAAATAGAAAAAACAGCCTGAATACCGTAAGATCCAATCGAAATTCCAAATAAATGGAAATGAAAAAAAAAGAAATCATTTTCATAGTAGAAAAAGGTGTCTCTCACTCTCTTTCTTTTTTTCACTTTATGAATGAAATGAATGAATGTTTGATAGTTTCAAACATTCATATGTTATAACTGATGATACTCTTATACGGATCGGGGCGTGTATTTCAATCAATATCGTAAAAGTAAGTTGTAATGTTGATGTGTGTGCGTATATGGGGGAATTGTGTATATGAAATGTGAGGGTTTACTGTTTTTTTCAACATTACTACAGTATATAACCGTATACAATTTATGTGTAAGGTATGAACATTTTCTACTTATTTATTGTATTTTTTTCGAATTGAATTAAAATGAAATGATAATCAACAAACATACATTATATACATAGCAAATGTTTGATGGAATTGTTTGGGAAAATAAATGAATTCCTATTTTTTTCAAAATTTTGCGTGTGTGTTGTGCGCACCGTTGAAATAAAAACATTATATTACATCGACAAATGCTACTTCTAGCTTCTAATATGATGATGATGATGATTGTAATCATCATTCTTGTTTAAACATTCTAACTGTGCAGACATACAAACAAGTGATGAAATTTTTTCTTCTTCTAATTTTATCGTTTGTTCCATTTTATATTGTGTGATCTAAATACAATTTGATTGATGATTATTTTATCCATAAAAAAAATAAAATCCAATCATCATCATTAACTTATGATTAAACAAATCTTATCTAATTAATTAATTAATTAATTAATTAATAAGCACTGATTTAATCATTTTGTTGTTGTTGTTCTTGTGGTTGTTATTATAATTCGATTCTTGGAATTTTTTTCTCTTCTTCTCATTTTTATTGATGTTCATTACAAAATTTTTTCATGGCAAATGCTTTTTTGTGGTTTTAGTTTTTGGTTTCTTTTCAATCTCATCTCTATCGGTGTGTGTGTGTTTATCTTTTCCAGCATATTCAATGAATGACAACTATCATCATCGGTGATTCATAGTTTTTTTTAAAATTGTTTGATGAGAATTTACCGTTTTATTGTTTGTTGCTTTATTCCTATTTCTTATCGTCAAAAAAAAAGTTTCCGACATTATTTGTTTAATGATAAGAATGAATTCAAATTAATCATAAAAATTTTTCATCTAAATCCTAATCAATGATTGTGTGTAACCAATGATTTTTTTATTATTATTGTTGTTTTACACTCAAGTTCCGGTTCGCATATCATTGAAATCACTAAAATAATGTAAGTCTAATTAAACTATTGCAGATTTTCAATGAATGATGATTATTTCATCAGAATTCTAACAACAACAACAAAAATTAACTATTTTTTCTCCATAACCATTCATTTTATTAACCATTCATTTTTCGACTATTTCAACATTGATTTTTCATCGAATATTTTTCGGTTTTAGTTTCGAATGAACACCAATATGTTACAATAGCCAAAAAAATGATGATAAATAATCATATTAATTCTTGGCTTCAAATAAAGCCTTATTTTTCAAATAACAACAACAAAAATCCTGCTGTGATGACCACTATTAATGATGATTATTTGAATTGTTGTTGTTGGTGGCTATGGTCATGGCTATGTCCATCAACAATCAATCAACAACAAAATCAACAAATTCATTTCGATTATTATTGGACCAATAATAGTAGATCATCATCAAAAATTACAAATAACACGTGTCTTCACTTCAATACTTTAGTACCTTCAACACTATTATCATCAATATTTTATCAAAATTGTACCATAAACAATTGCCACCACCAACACCAACAACAACAAATAAAAAACAAATGGCAAACATTTACCTTAATCAGTTCAAAACAATCTTTAAATAAACAACCGAATAATTGTATATTCAACAATAGTCATATACAACAACAACAGCAATCAAGGTCGGCAGACCAAAGAATTGGTTCAAATTCATCATCATCATCATATTTAACGTTGAATTCGAAAAAATCTTCACTTACTACAATTCCACCATTATTATCAACAATGTTCATCTTTAGTTTACAGTCATATTTAGTCAAACAATTTTACTATCTATTCTTTCTAGTCTTATTTTTTTCATTATTTACAACAACGTCAGCAACAGCAACAAACGGTAAAAAATATTTTAACTTAATTTTTGGCCTTGATTTTTTACCTTTATGTTTTCTTTTTCACTGAACCATTTTGGTATATTGAAAAACTATTTGTCAATTGTTCTATTTATTTGACGCAAAAAAAACAGAAAATATTTTTAAAATCACCAATTATGGGATTTGTTAATTTTTTTTCTGCACCAATCTTTCATCGTGTGCAATCATGATGATCATCATAAAAAAGCTTGCGCGACAAGACTCTTTTTTTTTGTTGCTCCATATATTTCATCATTGATTCTGTATGTTTAAAGATTTCATATCATACACACTATAAGATAGAAAACGACAAGTAACTTTTGAAAGAAAGAAATATCCCGGTACATTTGATCAATCTATGATGATTGTGACTTATGATTTGTGCAAGTGGTAAACAGTTTATAGTTTGACAATTATTCTGAAGTAAAATATTGCCTCTTTTTCTCTTATCTCGCTCTATCTTTCTATCTCTCTCGTTCTTTAAATGTGTGTGTGTATATAAATGTGATTGGATGATTCAATTATTAAATCAAAGTTTAATCACATTGCAAATAAATAAATAAATATTTTATTGCAAACTTTTCTATGGAAATATTATCATCATTTTTGAAAAAAAATAATATCACTGGAGCAACCAGATTTTATAAAGATGCCGCATATATTTCATTATGAAAACGTGTGTCATATGTGTAGAAAAAATAATATTAATAATAATGTCATTTTTCGGCAATGTCAAATGGCCAGGTAATTCATGTTTTAATATGGTTACAAATGTCCAAAAAGAAAAAAAAATGTTTGTTGTCTGTGTTTTGGATGTCATTTTGCTATTTAATAGTAATATCCGAATATGAAAATAGTAATAAAAATTTCAATTTGTTTGTCGGGCGACATCATAATGAATCAAAAATTTTTGTTGATGATATATAAAATGTGAACATAATAAAGACACACACCAGCTTGATTCAAAAAGTTGTTTGTTTGTTTGTATATTTTCCGTGTGTGTGTCGCACACACACTGTTTTTTTTGTATCTTGGAAACCAAAATTTTATCCAACAACAACAACAACAACAGAAACAAATCATTAATTTTATGGTCCAAAGGTCATATAAATATTACGATTATTTTATTTTCAGATTGTTTTGACATTTAAGGTCACAATAGTGGAAAAAAATATTGGTCTACAAACATTCCATCATAATCATCATAATTATTATGACAAATATTTGATGAAAAAGTAATTTATTTCAACCAGAAAAACAAATCCTGAATCTTTACCAGATATTTTTATGATTAGATTCATAGAATAAAAAGATATTATATAATTGATTTCAATCAATCAATCAATTCATGAAAGAAAACGTCATAGTCAGAATATTTGAAAAATAAACCGAAAATAATCAAAAAGATAAAAAAAAATGTGAAGCGACAAATTTTTCTTCGAAAAGGTATTGGATGTTGATTATGCAGACAACCAACATTCAGCAAAAAAAACATCCCTGTGGTGAAGTGAAATAAAATAAAAAAAAAACACAAAAATTATGTAACGAAAAAAAATCTTATAACGATAATGTTTAAATGATAATGATGATAAATGGTTTGTACGGAATACAAATTCTAATGTGTCAATGTGTCTTGGCGACAATTGATTAGTATAGTCGTTATCATCATCATCATCATCATCATTATCGTCATTATCATCATTATCGTTGTCGTCGACGACTAAGACGACGACAACAACAAAAAATTATTCGTTTTTTAAAAATAGCTAATGAAAATTCGAAATGAGAAAAAAAAATATGATATACATTCTTTTGGATTTAAATTCTAAAGATTTTTCTTTTCTTTGTCCAAAATAAAAAATGAACTTTTTCAAATTTTTTTTTTTGTTTGTTTGTTTCGAAAAAAAGAAACTTTTTCTTGTCGTGTCGTAACAACGATTCGGATGATGATCAATCATTTTTTTCTTTCTTCTTCTTCATATTAACTTTTGAGTTTCTGAATATTTACTTAGAACATGTTGGTTGTTTCAAACAAACAAAAAAAATCCATACTGTTCAAGAATTTAAAATTAAAAAAATTTATCGATTTATGCAATCTGAATTCTGAACATTGTAAACATTGTGTACATGTTTGACATATTTTAAATCAGCGAATTTTATTTGTAAAATGTGGCCAGGCAATACGCACAGAAACAAAAAAAATGAAATTCATCCGAATGAATGAGGAATTTCAAATCAAAAAAAATCTCTTGAAGGTAAAATGTTTGTTATGTTTAGTAAATATACAAGATTAGCGTTTTGATTTTATAAGTTTTTTTTTGTTTTGCTTTTCGTAAGTTTTACAAATTCAAATCCACCAATAATAGTTTTAGTTTTGAATTGTGAAAACAAAATTCTTTCTAATTTATTTGACATTGAATTTCTTTTTTCATTCATTTATTGGCAATAAATCATGTTTGATTGTTGATTTTTTTTGGATCACCCACACACACACACAAAACAAATAAAACAAATATGTAATTAAAAGTTTCAAACTTATAATTACATATTTGTGATACAATATAATTATTTATATTCGTTGATAACAAAACAAAATCAACAAGTAATTATGGTTATCCAATCAATTGAAAATGTTAATTCTTTTGCCAAATTCATTTTTGTTTGTAATAATATTTTGTTAATAAAATTATTCCTTTGAACACCCGCACACAACTACAAAAAAAATCTATGATGGTTTGTTGACCTTTAGAGATCAAATTGACAAATACAAATGGATTTTACTTTCTAAATTATGAACAAGACATTTGTATTCATCGATTATTTTGGCCAACTTTTGTTTGCTATAGTTTTTTTTTTGTTGAATCAAGATATTTACAGTTGAAAATACATTGCTGCGCCTGTTTTTTTTTTCGCGTACATTTGTTTTGGATCTCCAGACTTCCGTGTTTTTTTACTATTGGTTATGGTAGGTTGAAAAATAACAAGAAAAAAAGGTTGTCGTGTTTTGGAACACCTTTCACTTTTCATTAGATTTCATTTTCATTACTTAAAGGTTAAAAAGGTTAGCAACCTAAAGACGACAATGATGACAACGACCTAGCCTCACCTATTATGTTTCTTGATCAAAATTAATTCATTGTGATCGATCTTAAAGTTCGTTGTCCAGCAGTGTTTATTAGGTTGGAGTCGAGCTGATTTTTTTTTGGGTGCTGAATTGAATGAATCGAAAGTATCTTGTGTTACGCACGATTAATCATATATTCAGCTGCTGCTGCTATTGCTGTTGACGAATGTATGGATGAAAAAAAAATAAACGTGTGCGACAAACGTGTGTGTGCCTGGTTTCTTGAAGTGAAAAAGCCTAGAGAAACAACTTTGAAACATTTGTCGTTGGGACATCCATCCATTCATCCATTTAACGTCGACCGGCTGCCGTTTATAATACAAGATGATATAGTCAACAACAATTATATATTTTGCCCTATGGTTTTTTTATAATAATGGTACGACACCATCATCATCATCATCATCATGATCATTTGATTCACGTGCCACGTGCTGTCGATATATACCGTTGTGATATCAACCCAAATAAGCAGGTGGTCTTTGATCTTGGCTGATGATGATGATTATTATTTCAAAAAAAATAAGCTCAAGATATATGAAAAGAGTATCAACAATTACCATCTTGTACCGTTTGATTGCGTGTGCCACTTTATTTCTGTTTCTTTTTTCTTTTTTTTTCAAAATTTTTACATATAAAAATAATGTAAGCGTGCAAAGTTGAACGATGTCGATAAACACCGTTATTATGATTATGATTTTTCATCATCATAGAGGAGGTAGAGGACTACTGATGATATTCAGCTAAATGCAAATTTAAATGTTAATCATAATCAACAAGAGAAAGAGAAAAAAAATAATAATTGATGATAATCCAATTGGATTTATGATGATGATGTTGTTGTTGGAAATTCAAATAAGTTTCTCTCTCTGTTACCTTACTCCCTCGCATATATTACCAAAAAAATTTTTTCCTCCCAAATAAATAATCTCCATATGTTGCACATATGTTTTATTCGGTTTTTCTTTTCATCATATATTGAATATAATTGAACGTGTTCGACGTCTACTTTAAATGATTTTGATTAGATTATTACTATAGTACTGTTATAATTTGATGGTTTAATTTAGGAAGCAAAAAAGTCAATAATTTATATGATTATAATTTGATGAAAATTTATTCAATGGTGTTGTTGTTGTTGTAATTGATAGGTGAAAATTATTTGATAATTTGATTCATTGAATTTAAGCTGTCGAAATAGGTGAATTTGATGTTTTAATTTCACTTTTTACAATACCGAGGGCTATTGAATTTTTATATTTGAAAAAAATAAGAATAAAATTTATGGAAACGTTTTTTTGTTCGTTTGCTGTCTTGATTTTTTTTCATTTCACTAATGATAAAAATAAATTTAAAAAAGTAATTAATTTCGTTGTTTGATTTAATTTGGTTTGGTTTACTTTCTGAATGAAAAATGATATTTGAGAAAAAAAAAGAAACCAGACTGAAAAATCTAATAAATAAAACAAAACAAAACAAAATTCATTAAATGAATGGAAAAATTTAAAATAAAGCTAAATTTAGCTAAAATTTTTTCTTGAAAAAAAATTCTAGTTACAAACAGATTCCAAATTCGTTGTCTTTGATCTTTGTTGTCAAAGAAAAAACGTCTTCTGTTCATGGCCATAATGTTGATGATGATAATAATAATTACTGCGTGTGTATTTTCGGTTTGGATTTGGGTGTCCAAAGATTTATGAGTTTTTTCTTGCTTTCTTTCTTTGTTGTTTGTTCAAGTGCAAATGTGTGTGTGCAAATGATTGCTTGATGGTAAAATCAAGCTGAATCTATTCTATGGATAAATTCAATAAACCGCTGAACATGAACCTTAAAGTTTGTTTTTTTCTTTGAATAACAGAT